AAAAAAATGAGAATCAACGCACTTTGCAGGGCCCAAGGCTTGTACTTGCGCAGCTCGGCAAAATAAATTTTGCTGTCCCTCGAGCATTCGGCCGACGCTCCTTCGACAGGCGCGAAGGGCCGCTCCAGCAATCGAAGGAGGGTAGTTTCCGGGCTCGTACCATCGACACCAGTTATCAGCGCGATACCGCACACGACCAACCCCAGGATGGTTGTAACGATTCCCGGCACTGCTGTCCTTTGGCACGTCATAGTTTCTAACTGTACCGATTTTACTGAAACCTTTTCAACTTTTGTATTCAACAAAAACACATGATCCCGCCGAGGTGAAGCCTCGACGATTTCGGGTCAATCGAACAACAAAGCGATACACAGCCCCTCTCGATTTTGCCAAATATTAAATTAAACAGCAATCACAGCTGTGACAAATCGAGAGAGAGAGAGAAGTGTGAGCGCGTGTCTCGGGTTAAACTGCCGGATAACGAGATCTCGTTCCTTTATATACATGGATAAGTAGAAAAGAGCGTGGCCGATGGGGGCAACCGGCTACTACACACTGACGTTGACGCCGCTAAGATAATATCGCGATCGCTATAGGGAGCGAACGATGATCGACGCGCGCGCATGTCGCTCTCTCGACGCGCCCCTCTCTGGACTCGATCCCGTGGATACCATGGGGTGCCCGTCTTTTTTTTTTTTTTTTATTCGCTCCGCTATTTTTGTCATTTCATCAAAAGCAGCTTCAAGGATACCCGTGAAATAACCCAAGTATGCCTCATTGTGATGGGGGATTGGTCAAAGGAGCTGTGCTTCACGTATCTGGGGATCAAAAACGGCTACAGTCATTCCTAAAGAATAAAAGGTTGTCGAGGAAAAACCTTGTATCTTCGATTTTCTATATTGTCGGGCTTGGTAGTCGACACTTGTATGGCAAAATTTTACTGTAACGACAAATCCGTATAAGTTGCCTGTGGAGTCGTCAAAGATATCTAATAACTTGTACGAGTCAACGTTATAAGAATTACAACAGTAGGATGAGCTTGTGATTGTTGTGTTGGGTCGAGTGAATGTAACATGGACCATAAGTCCCATCACATTTGTCACGCATATTGTTATAAGTAAAGGTGATACTTGAGTCCATGGGCACAAAATTAATGTTAAAGTATGTCAACTATAAATAAAAAAAAATATAAATATTGATGACTTTTTTTTTTCTTCCTTTCTTTTTTTAGCAGTCATAAATTAGTATACCCATGAAGCAGTGTGTTTAATTTTATCCCAAAATTATTAAGTACCACATTGGATGTGAAAAGTTTCACCGACAGAACTTTTTTCGGCGTGTTGGTGAAAAAACAGTGTGTGAAACGAATAAATAGAAAGTTGAGGCTGTCCCGTTCGGGCGATTTAAATACATTGATTCGTCCATACTTTATATAATGAGTTTTTGAAAGTTTCAAAAGCCTCTACAGCTGTTTCATTATAAAAAAAAAAAAAAATATGAACGAATCCCCTCGTCAACGTATTCCAATTAACCAAACAGGCTAGTCCGAACTTTCTACTTGTCCATTTTCTACTATTTTGACGTGGATACAATGTAAAAAAAAAAAAAGTCGTTTCTTTTGATTTCCGCATCTAAATAAGGATATCGATATAGTTTGAAATCACATTAAAACATGTAAGTGTGTGCAAAAATACACTGTCGTTTTGATGATTTACAGTATGGTATAACAACATGCCTCGAATGTATTATTCGGAATAAAAACCATAGATGGATTTATGTTGATATGTATACGATTGATAGGATCATATCATAACTGGGATACTAAACAACATGCAATAACATATTAATCAATACTTATCGATGTATACCAGCAGTTTTAAGGAATACCTGATTTCCAAGATCCCTTATGTTTTCGGACAAACAAAAAATGTATTCTCCTTAAAACGTACTTCTCATGTACACCGTTAAAAAATTTCTCATTCAATACAGGAGATTTGAGATAAGTATTTACATGATTTATGTATGGCTACATAAAATCAAGTTTCTTAATTAACTCTAGTTATAACCACCTAATTGAGCTAAAATTCAATGAGTAGCTCCACTCCAACACCAAACGTGTGACAATTACAAAAAAGGCGTTTACATGCCTTTATAAAGTATTTTATTGATATAAAATATTTTAACTCATGGAAGATAATCAATATCATGAGTACTTTTATGAATTTTCTTGCTTGTGTCAGTTAAAACTTTACTGAAGCATTGTCTTTCAGATTTATTTAATTCTTTACTCACATTTATTATTACAATGAAATATTTGTTCTTCAAATATTCTATACTGACAGCTATACTATCCACTACGGAATTATGTTTGTGTTATTTAGTATCAACGCGGTCCTTGAAAATTATGCAGCATTTAAAAATTTGAGTATCAGTAATATTAAGAATAATATTCAAGTAACATCATCGTTATGCACTTAAAATTTACAAAAAGATCAATTTTATCAATTTATTTATTATAGTTTACAAACATTTTTGCAAAGTAAAACGACCGGGCACTCAAAAAGAGAGTGTTTCAAGTGTGGAAAATCTTGACCAAACCTTGAAAAAAGTGGTTTTCTAATACCTACACAAATTACACGAATCATCCAATAAGCGTTATATATATATATATATATATCACTATTCATAAGCACACACACACACACACATATATATATCTTAAACAAGATGGTGCAAAAAAATTGCAGGCAAATTAAATTTTCCAACCTCGGGTGGTTTTGGGAGGTTGGTACTTTCTCGGGCGAAAAAGCAGTTTTCCGGAACTCGTTCGAAAAGTCTCCTTTACGAACCTCGTTACGTCCCTCGCCTTCGGCTCGGGCCGCAAACCTCTCAAATCGCGAACAGAGACGTTTCAAACTCGTAGGAAAACTACCATTTCCTCCTTTCGGGCGATAACTAAGGGCCGAAAGTACTTTCAGTGCCTGTTTCACGGGCGGAAAGTGGAACCTCCCGCCCTAGGGCGGAAAGTACATTCCTGCCCTAGGGCGGAAAGTACATTCCCGCCCGCAAATAAGAAAAATTAGTAAATTTTGTAGTTGGTGTACATTATCAATATGTTATATGCGACATCTATCAAATATCTTTCTTTATACATCTTCAAAACAAGACTTGATTATTTTATGAAATTCTATTATAANACTAATTAATGATATGACTTTAAACGCTAGATAATCATTTTTTAATTTATTTTGGTATATGAAAACACTGTATTTCATTCGAATACAAGTTTTCATGTTATTCTTACGAAAAACTCAAATGTTTGTTTTGATGTATGCAGTTGAAAATTTTTGAGTTAATGTCGGCTATAAGTGTAATGATCCTATAGCTATAAATACGAATTACGTGTGTACGTCATAATTTTAACGGAAAAAAGTCAATTAAAAGCTATACATACACCAGTAAAAAATAACTAATGAATTACCGCACTCAGCTTTACTAATTAATGATATGACTTTAAACGCTAGATAATCATTTTTTAATTTATTTTGGTATATGAAAACACTGTATTTCATTCGAATACAAGTTTTCATGTTATTCTTACTAAAAACTTAAATGTTTGTTTTGATGTATGCAGTTGAAAATTTTTGAGTTAATGTCGGCTATAAGTGTAATGATCCTATAGCTATAAATACGAATTACGTGTGTACGTCATAATTTTAACGGAAAAAAGTCAATTAAAAGCTATACATACACCAGTATACCTTCGAAATGTAATTAATTTGAAATAAATTTATTTTTCAACACAAGACGATGTTTTGATAAAAAGTAGCGTAATACTTATTCACTTTAATCCATCAGTTATCTATGTTACATATCTGTAGAAGTGCATATATCGAAGTAACCAACTCCCTCAGCGGATAAAAATCTCTGCTTCATGGATACACTATCAAAATATATTTTCACACTGAGAAATATTTTATTGTAACTGTACTCTCCTTGCTGTTGTAAGGAAAATAGCCTACCAAAGTTAGCCTACCAAAAATATGTTTAAAAAGAAAATAAATGCTTATGAATGAGACGATTGTGTGTATTTTTATTACTTTTGTAATTCATAAATTTAGCCATAAGTCGGTGCCATTGTCGTAGGTGCACTAAGTCTGTAGCTTTGCAAAAAATAATCGAAAAGTAAATAAAATTGAGTTTCGATTTCGATTTCTAAACGATTTATAGAAACTGCATTATGTAATTTAACCACGAAGTAGAATATCTCAACTTTCTCTCATTTTAATAGTAATAAATACTCAAAAAATATGTGATTCTGTAATAAATTTATGATATCCATATAAATTAGAATGCATTTTATTGAAGTACAGGAGATATCAGAGTGCTTCACAACTATGAAACATAACTATGGAATAAGCATAAAATATTTTTACAAAATTGAATTATTTTCGCCAACCTAATTGGCCATTTTTTTTTTTTTTTTTTTTTTTTACGTTTAGACGTTTACTGCACAATTTGTAGGAAAAACAGTAATTTTCGCCACTAATGAGCATTTGGCCAGGGCGATCACGAAGTTACCTTGTGAGTATCCTTGATCCCGGTGATGGCCCTGGAGGAGATGCGCAGAAGTGACAAAAACTACTATTCTACTAATTGAAAATAATTAAATAAATATTGATAACTCAGCTTTCGCTTGGCTAAGATATTGAATGACCCTCGGTAGGCGGTTATTGGCTTATTGATTTTTTTCGTGTTAGATAATTATATCAGAAAGATTAAGTACAATCCACAAAATAAAATAAAAAATTGTATTTTAACGACAAAACAATTTTTTTCAATATTTAATCTATTTAATGTCTATTTTGATTTAAATATTTATAGTTGTATGATGTACGAAACTAACGAAAAAAATTTTTGAACTCGTTTAACCACGCCCTGCAATCTATAGTAAAATCGGAAACCAGAAAATAACTACAGGACTAGAAGAAAATTGTAGAACATACACTTCAAAGGATTTCATGATTTGTGCTCAATGTAACTAAGTTTGCAATCGGAATGTCTGTTTTTTCCGAATAAAATTTTTCATAAATGACTAATTTACGGGAAGTGACAATTCCAAAATAACATATCATATGAGTAATAGCCCACGTACGTCTGTTTACTATTTTTCGGGACACTGACCTCTCGTAAGTTAGTCACTTATAACAAATCGAACTTGCAACAAAATTATTTTATTTTTATGAATTTTGCAACTGAAGAATTCTTCTACCAATTACAAAGGTTGTAAATATCTTATTTATTTTAAACTTTGTCAATACTTTAGCTGAAATGCCCACACACCGCTTAACGACAAGGGAAAAAAAATCTTTAAAAAAAAGTGAGAGAGAGAGAGAACAAAATTGCAGAAACAAGTTTGATTCAATATATCGTAGGTGTTATTAAAGATTTGCAGTAAAAAAAAACCTTTTAAATCACAGAATGTTTACATCAATTTATGCAATTTTTTGATTCAAGTTTCGAAACGTGTGATTTGAGTGATTCGTTCAATGAAGACACCTAATAAATTTCGATTTCCGAAATTTAAGGTAACCATTATTACTAGTACAGATAATTTTACAATTCTTACAAAATATACAATAATTAAAGAAGTAAAGGTTTTAGTGACATTTTTTTGTGAAAATCCTTATTTAAAAAATTATTATTGCACTAAGTAAATATATACAAACTCTTAAATCTATCACTTGAATAGTGTATATAATCCTCGAAATAAAAATTTATTAAAAAATGAATGAAAATGTTGCAAATTTGAACTAAGCAATGGTGCTTAAAAATTTTTTACAAACCAAAACCTGCTTTCTGCATTTGTTCATAGAAAATTATTCATTTAACTTTATTATTTATTTTTCAGATTCTCATCTTCGCAATTCAAACTAAGTGATCAAAACATCTAATAAAAATAGTTTTTTTGGTTTGAAGATCTTCTCCCCTTGGTCTCTTACGTATTTGTTTGTTTTACTTGTAGATAAAAACTACGCGTAAAAAGGTCTTAAAATTTTTCTTTGCTAGAAAAACAGGTTATTTATTGTTGCTTAAAGAAGTTGTAAGAATTTTTTTTCGAAGGTAATATTAACTTTCATCGTTTTTCTTATGAAATAGTGTTCTAATAAAAAATTCCATCGGACATTCCCTGAAATAAGTCACGATTTACTAATACTTTTAATAAGAAAAGTTTTGTTCATAGGGAATTCATTCCAACAGGGCATTAGCAAAAAAATTATGTACGTTACATAATCGTCATTTTTTAGGTACCCAATATTACTAGTTAGCAATCAAGTTTCGAAATATGTGATTTCAGTGATTTATTCAATAAAAATAACCAAAAAATTTCGTTTTGTGAAATTTAAGGTAACTACTATCACTAGTACAGATAATTTTATACTAATTTACTAATTTTATACCTTACAAAACCTAAAAGATTTGGAATGAAAAATTAATGCATCTTATTTAGTTAGTTTATCTATCCTTTGTTTTTATAATTGTACGGTGTGCAAACAGTATAAAAATTATGTGTTAACAGTGTAAAAAATTCCAAGCATATTTAAAAAAAAAGTGTCAAAACTACTTCTACAAGAAATTTAAAATTCAAGACGATTGGTTATTTACATACTTGGTAAATACTCGAACTGAATAGAAAAGCTTGCAGTTTTTTAATTTTATTAAAAAAAGCGTTTTATAATAATTAATGTTAAAAAAACATGAGCGTTATATTAGGAATGAAATTACCTCATATGAAAAACCAAATATTGTTTCCCAAAAAAAAAGTTTTTTTTTTTCAAATAACAATATTAGGAAGAAGGAACAACGAAAGCAAAAACGTTTATCCGTAAATGAATCAATATGAATGTCAAAATGATTACTGAAATTGTGTCAAATTTCTCCGATGATAATAATAAGAATAACAATAATAATATCGGTACGTGCACGAGCGCCTTCGTTTGTCGGTCATTTTTATGAGGACAAACACGATAACGCGTCGAACGAGAAACATTAACACCTTATCGCATCAATTATGTGGCATTTTATTTCCTATAATCAGGTGACGGCTCGCGGCGCTACTCGAACTTTTTTTTTGTTTTTTTTTTTTCTAATCAGGAAAAGCCCGACTATCACGCTGACAAAGTATTCGAAAGCTGAGGTCGTTAAACTCGTCGTATTTGTCACGCTCGTAATCTTCCTGTATCGAAAGAGATGATCAGCAAACGATTGTACTGGTGTGATGAAAAATATTTGATCGCGCCTGGATGGTATATAAATGATGTAGGTACATTCGATTCGGTCGCGACACCTAATTAGGCACAAACACTTGGGCGGCCGTTGGAGGGGGGAGGAAATTGTATGATAAAAGTCCTTTTAAATCGGTGTATAATGACAAGGTACGTGTACCACTTTTCGGGTCCCACAGGCGCGTTGATATTTTCCTACTCGTACACTCCGATTTGATAGCTCCGATGTCTGCTCCCATACATAAACAAGTTAATCGCTTATCGAAAAAGTGTACCTGTGTGTGTGTGTGTGTGTGTAAAATACTTTTCTTCGCATCAGAGCGCTTCTGCGTCACTGGATTGATGAGCGATAAGATCGCGTTTCCTGGTAAGCGACATTTAAATTGTTCATGACGAGCGCTCGAAAAGATAAGAAAAAAAAAAAAAAAAAAAAAAAAAAAAAAAAAAAAAAAAAAAAAAAAAAA